GTTTTTCCATGGATCGACCACAGCTGCAGCCACAGGGCTAAAATGTTGCATAGCACCAAACCTACAGGTTGATTTGAGAAAGCAAAAATGTACTTCATTTCCCTGGGGCAATTGCAGGGGTGGGGGACCAGGTTCCCCCAGATGACCGAGTCCAGGGTCAGGGTGAAGTGGGTGGCGGCTGGGGGAAAGCCCGTGGCTGGGGAAAGCCCGTGCGTTGGCACCAGACACCCTAAGTTAGCGGGTGGAAATGCTGGCCTCTGCCTCCCGGTGGCAGCCAGCTTCTGACTTGGGCGAGTTGGCTGCCATCAGGCACTGTGTTCTGTTTCCTTACTTGCTGCGGCTCTGACTTTGCTGGGAGAAACTCGCCTCAGCTCGTAGAGGTGAGGGCTGTCTCGCTAAGGGAAGTGAAAGTGGTCACCTAATGGCCCTGGGCTGGAAGCTGGCGCTGGAGAGAGACTGCGGGAACCGCCTGGAGAGGGATGAGAAGGGCCGAGCGTGCGTAGCGAGGACTGCAGAGTCTGGCCTGGCTGCCGGAGCCCCTCAGAGCTCTTGGCGTGGGGCTCTTCCCGGGAAGGCTGACAAGCGGGAATTGGTGGGGCGGTACAGAGAGGCTTGGTTTAGGCAGGCCACCGGTTAGAGCAGCGGTTCTCAACCTGTGGGTCGCGACCCCTTTGGGGGTCGAACGACCCTTTCACAAAGGTCACCTAAGACCATCAGAAAACACATACATAATTACATATTGTTTTTGTGATTAATCACTATGCTTTAATTATGTTCAATTTGTAACAATGAAATTGAGGGTCACCACAACACAAGGAACTGTATTTTTATATATATATATTTTATTGATTTTTTACAGAGAGGAAGGGAGAGGGATAGAGAGTTAGAAACATCAATGAGAGAGAAGCATCGATCAGCTGCCTCCTGCACACTCCCTACTGGGGACATGACCGCAACCAAGGTACATGCCCTTGACCGGAATCGAACCTGGGACCCTTCAGTCCCCAGGCCGACACTCTATCCACTGAGCCAAACCGGTTAGTGCACAAGGAACTATTAAAGGGTCGCGGCGTTAGGAAGGTTGAGAACCACTGGGTTAGAGCGTGGCCTCTGGGCATCATCGCTCTGACGGGTTTGCCTGGCCTCATCTCGCAGGCACTGGCTGAGTGTGTATCAAATGAGAACCACTGGGGTTTCAGAAACATTTCTGAGGATCCATAGTTACTGTGGAAAGCTCTCCCTTGAGTGTCAGTTTGTTTTCTCATCACAGTCCTAATGCTCCCATCGCTCGTTTCCGTCACTGTGCGGGCCCAGGAGCGGCACTGATTACACCGAGCGGAGGGATAGGTTTGGGAGGTCAGGAAAGGGGGGTAGACCAGAAAGTAGAGGCTTAGACCATTTTTTTAAAGGCATCGGGAGCATCCCGGTCAAAGTAAACGCCTTTTAAAATGTAACCAAAGCAGCCTTTTCCACACTGTCTTTTCTTCTTTCTCAAGTGCATGACTCCTCCTCAGAGCCCTGACCTCATGGAGCCATTGGCGAGAACACTCGTTCCTTCCCAAGCACCTGATTCCAAAGCACGCGTGGCCGTGGCCGTCCCCCCGGCCTCTGCGGGGGCAGCCAGCGCCCTCAGCCGGAGGGAGGAGAGGATCCTGCCAGGTTTGAAGCCAGAGTGGCTGCAGCCGGCCCCTGGCGCCCCCTGCAGGGCTGTGGTGGCCAGTGCCACCCACCACGCCCTGGGGAGTCCTGCTCCCGGCCACAGTCCTGCCTCCCAGCCTCCAGACCACAGGGGAGGAGCAGCACCGCTTCGGGGACACGCAGAAGCTTTGCGGGACGCGCACCCCAGAGACACTCCCCTCACCGTGAACTCAGGCCCCCGTCCGCCTTGCTCCAAGAAGTCTGGAGACCGGGTCCCCCCCGACCAAGGCCAGCAGGCAGGCCGGCCGGTTGCGGTCCCACCCTGCTCACCAAAGAACTGTGAAAATGACCTGCCCGGGAACACCGCGCCTCTCATTTCTGTCCCCGTCCCCAGCCCCCCCGTCCTTTGCCAGATGGTCCCTGTGACTGGACAGAGTGGCGTGTTGCCGGCATTTTTGAAGGCACCTCCCCCCGTCTCCGCCGGGACTGTCGCACCCATTCTGCCCCACGCTGCTCCAGGGCCCCAGCCGGTGCTCATGGGACCACCTGTGCCTCCGGGAGCTGTGATGCTGGTGCTGCCGCAGGGGGCGCTCCCCCAGCCCGCCTCCTGCTCCCCGGCAGGTGTCATGGCTGCGGGGAATACCAGGTTGTTGCCTCTGGCCCCGGCCCCCGTGTTCATCGCCACCAGTCACAACGGGGCCCCTCAGGCAGACTTTTCCCGAAGGAGGAACTATGTTTGCAACTTTCCAGGCTGCCGGAAAACCTACTTCAAAAGTTCCCACCTCAAGGCTCACCTCCGCACCCACACAGGTAAGTGCGAGGCAGGTGGGCATGGGGGGCGAGGATCCATGTCGGAACCTGTCTGGGTTCCTAGAACACGGCATCAGCTCACCCCGTGCACAGAATGTAGGCGTCCTGTGGCGGTGACCCTTTGATAGCGTTTAGGGCAGGGGTGGGCAAACTTTTTGACTCGAGGGCCACAATGGGTTCTTAAACTGGACCGGAGGGCCGGAACAAAAGCATGGATGGAGTGTTTGTGTGAACTAATATAAATTCAAAGTAAACATCATTACATAAAAGGGTACGGTCTTTTTTTTTTTTTTTAGTTTTATTCATTTCAAACGGGCCGGATCCGGCCCGTGGGCCGTAGTTTGCCCACGGCTGGTTTAGGGTGCTGCTTACGTGGCCCCTTTCTCTTCACGTGGCTGTGGGCATGCCATTCTCTCTGCGTGTTGGAAACTGCACCCCCATTCAGTAAACATCAGTGTGACTTAGGGTTACAGCGGGGCAAGGTCTCTCCAGTGTGTGGGAAAGCGTGAACTTCTGGAATATTTGAAATGTGAAGGAGAATAGTTTTCTTTTGGGAATATGTAGTTTTTCATTCAGAAGTCACACAGAAAGTGTAATGACTTAGCAGTCTCTTTATGTCTTAGCTGCATTCAATAGAATTTTCTGCAAGGATGGAAAGTTTCTCTGTCCATTAGGAGAGCCGTTAGCCACACGCCCTTGAAATGTGGACGGTGACTAAGAAACTGAACTTGACGCTTTCGTTAAGCTCACATTTACGTAGCTGGGGGCTGGTGCTGCCGGGCTGTAACAGGTGTGAGGCCCCCGGGCGGGTTTCTGCCTGGGTCGCTGAGGGTGGGCTCTCAGGTGTCCGGGGCACGCTGCTCTCTGGGTCAGTGTTCAGTCGTCTTGTTCTGCAGGGTCCTGTGGTTGAGCAGTCGGCTTGTTAAACTCGCCTTTCGGGGTTCTCACACACGCACACGCACATGCGCGCGCGCGCACACACACACACGCACAGTGACAGGCTCAAGTTCTGCAGTGAAGATTGCTCCATAAACTCTGGCCCTGAAATCCCCCCCACCAGCGTGTCTGCTGCTGGCCTGTGGGACAGCAGCGCAGATGGGCAGGGTTGAGGGGGGGGCTGCGGAGGGAGAGGGCCCTTCCTGGCACACTGCAGCTCTGAGGGGGCAGCTCCCGCTGGAGCATGGAGCAGCCTGGAGTTGGCAGGCGTTGCAAAGGGAGCTCTAGGCTTCCACTCTGCGGGCGGGCGGGCGGCTGATTGCTCAGGTGCAGACTCCGAGCCTGGCCCGCCAAGCACCTGCCTCTCCGCCCTGACCTTCCCTCCCCAGCTCCACATCCTGCCCTTGACCTTCCCTCCCCATCTCCACATCCTGCCCTTCACCCGCCACCCTCTGCCCAGCTCTCCTCTCTGAAAACCCGGGAAGGGCCTTCCCAAAGCCGTTCTTACAAGTGTTTCCTGATCTCATTCCTTCCTGACCCGAGCGGCGTACTGTATGTCCCACCACACTTTTTCTTCGTGTTGATCTCATTCCTTCCTGACCCGAGCGGCGTACTGTATGTCCCACCACGCTTTTTCTTCGTGTTTTAGTTTCTTATGTACTTGACTGACTGACTGACTGACTGACTGGATATAAACTCTTGTGTCACCCGTCCGGAGTGGCTCAGTTGGACGTCGACCTATGAACCAGGAGGTCACGGTTCGATCCCCGGTCAGGGCACATGCAGTCAACCAATGAATGCATCAGTGAGTGGAACAACCGTTCTGGCTCTAAAAATCAATGTTTTAAAAAAAGAATACTCACTAAGGAAAAAAGCCTTTTCCTTACCACAAGCTAACAGTTGAAGAGTTATTTTTATTTAAACGTAGCTTTTGAAAGATTGGACATCCTTGGGCCCTGCCACATTACAGCTCAGGTGTGGCAGGAAGAATGCAGCTTGGAGGATTTCTTGACTTCTGAGTGACCCGATACCAGTATAACTGTCCTAGATTTTGAGGAACAAAATTTAAAAACAACATGGGTCAGCCCTAGCTGGTTTGGCTCAGTGGACAGAGCGTCGGCCTGTGGACTGAAGGGCACATGCCCAGGTTGCAGGCTCGATCCCCAGTAGGGGGCATGCAGGAGGCAGCCGATCAGTGATTCTCTCTCATCATTGATGTTTCTTTCTCTCTCTCCCTTTCCCTTCTTCTCTGAAATCAATAAAAATATATTTTTTTTAAAAAGTAAAAACAACACAGGTGTGATAGGTGCTGAGCGCTTAGTTTTCTGTAATGTGTGTTTTCTCGCCGCCAGGGGAGAAGCCGTTCAGCTGCAGCTGGGACGGCTGTGATAAGAGGTTCGCGCGCTCGGATGAACTGTCCCGCCACCGCCGGACGCACACCGGGGAGAAGAAGTTCGCGTGCCCCGTGTGCGACCGGCGCTTCATGCGCAGTGACCACCTGACCAAGCACGCCCGGCGTCACGTGACCACCAAGAAGCCACCTGGCTGGCAGGCAGAGGTTGGCAAACTGAACCGAATCGCCTCGGCAGAGAAACCCAGGAGCCCGCTGGTGAGCAGGCCGGCCTCGGCCTGAAGGGAGTCGCCCGAGGGAACTTAAAAAGGCTTTTCAGGGAAGGACAGACTGATGGTTCTCTCCCAAAACCACTGTCGTGGGGGCTGCGGAAGAGCAGAGGCTGGTTCTGATGAGCGTATGTTACCTGTTCTCTTTTTGGTTGAGACCCTGTTCAGTGTCTTTTGTAGTTTCAGAAGTTTTTTAAGGAAATGGAAGAAAATTTGACCATCTAAATCACCAGCATTCAAACATTTCGGCAATAAATTTTAAAAAATCTGGATTTTTACAGCCTTTCTATTCATGTTTTGTAGAAACGAGACAGGGTATGACTTTATACTGTTTTTTATGAAAAGATTTATATTGTTGGTACTCTGATCACCAGTTTCTAGATAGATGATTTTGCAGTCTTTTCAATGGTTCACGTTTTTATAAGAACCCTTCTTTCAGTAACCTTGAAACATTATTCAGCCAGAAAAAAAAAAATCGCAAGTTTGTAATCAGGCCTTTTAGAGCTAAGAATTTTTTAGAATCAAACTGGTTGACAGGGTCTCTTAGAGAAATGCCACACTTTCCTCTGAAAGTGTGGCAGGCAGCTTCCTCATGACATTCTCTGGGGACGCTCCAGGCAGCCATTCCTTCGCAGCTGTAGCCCAAGGATCAAAATTTTGGTTGCATAGAACTAGTCGCCTGTGTCCGCGGTGTGACTTGTGCAGGATGTACCCAGAGGATGACTTTAACACACTCCACAGACAGACAAACAGACACCCTGTGGTCAGGGAGCCTCGGTAGGATCCGTCTGTGCTCTGTGGAGAGCACAGCATTCGCAATTCCCTGTTTGTACCTCAAACACCGAGGGGAAAAAAGAAGAAAAAAGATGCCGTAACCCAGCTGCCCGGTTGTCAGGGACTTTTACTGTGGCCTCATCCGTAGTATCTTGTGGGCAGAGCAACTTCTTAGAGCAGCAGGGAGTGGCCTCATTGGTGGGAGGAACTTCCCACCCAAGTACAGGTCTGTACTCTGCACACGCAGACGAAGGTGCGTGCAGGCGGCCCAGCCCAGTGGTCCGGCTCCTTGATCCATTGAGAACTGGAGGAAATGCAAGTTATGCTGAATGGCAGCAGTGCCACCCAGCTGCCCTTCACTCGTGGTGTTTGAAGGAAACTGATCACACAGAAAACTCCTTGCAATGGGGGTGTTTTGCCGTCCGACAGGAAGTAGACCGTGGGCACCGATGTTGAAGCTGTGAGCACAGGCCCTCGCTCCACAGCGCCTGCCCCTGGCGGCACCGAGAATCCAGGCAGCAGAACGTGCGAAGGAACGGAGGGATGGTGTCCATTGTGCCTGGTGTTCAGAGTTTGTCTTTGCCTCTTGGGGCCTGGCATTTACCTTTATTAGAATGATGGTAAGGTGAGATGTTGAATAAATATAATGAGGTTCGTGCAAGAGAACACCCATTAGATGCATACAGCGCCGGTCCTTTCTCTCCCACTCATACCTTTAAATCAGCATGAACACCGCTGTGTGCATGTCCGAGGCGGCATTAAGTTTGGGTATTTCCCCTCATTATGCAAAACAATGTTAGTCCTGCCAGTGTGGTGGCGGATCCCACAAGGTGGAGTGCTTGCTCGCGCGTCACACGGAATGTCATGCTCTGAGCAGCGTTTCTAAGGAGACGGCTGCCCGTGGTTTTGATTTGCGCTTCCATTCCTGATCGGATGTAGAAATGCCTCCTGGAAACACTTCCTTTGCCTTCTGTCTGTCCCTGAAAGACGGCAAGTTGGGAAACAGTTTTGTCTGAAGAATTCTGTCCTGAGAGCCACCCTTGGTTGGTTCCATGTGGAGCCCCGCGGCAGGGGCTCTGGGCGCCCAGGCGAAGCCTCCCCCCTCCTTCCCCCCTGCGGCCCGCCCCCCCCCCCAGTGCACTTTACTTCCTGAGCACTTTTGCTTGATCTTTGTTGACTTTGAGCCTTTTACGTGGTTTCAGTAATAAAATTTGAAATGTCTTGGAATTATGTTTCTGTACCACCAGACTTTGACGTCTTATTTAAATGAATATGTGTGATGTAACTTTTTTCTTTGATTTAAGCATAAAACTTCTTTGATTTGCAAACTGGACTTGTGTCCCATGTCATTTAACTGCCCCAGTGACTTCAGAAAATAATTTACCAAATCCAGTGTATATAGGCCCAGCCTATGCCTTCTCTCTGTTCCCTGGGTTCCGTTCTGCTCCCAGGCCCCCCAGGTTCCGTGGAGGGTTCTTTCTGAAAGAACAGTGTGAAGAGGCAGCTGCTGTGTGGGCCGATCTGGTGCTGGGTCTGGCCCTGGCAGGACGGTGGGTGCGGAATAGCCCTGTGCCCCTCCTCCTCGAGCTCTTCCTGTGCCAAGAGGGGGGAGGGAGGGAACCTCACCCCCCACTCTCAGCCCAGGCTTTAGAGGTGCCACGGCGCCAGTCTTCACTCCTGCTCCTGGGGTACGTTCTCTCTTGCACCCACTTGGGCTGGGATTTGCATCCACGTCCCCTTCAAGGAGCTGCTGCGGATGTTGCCAGGGACGGTGAGGTCTCAGTCCTCCTCATATTTGTCCAAAACGACCAAGCTCCTCATCTCCCCAACATTAGATTTTCTCACAGGTGACTCCCTTGTCTTTGAAAAGAACAGCAAGCCCTGGCTGGTTTGGCTCAGTGGATAGAGCGTTGGCCTGGGGACTGATGGGTCCCAGGTTTGATTCCGGTCAAGGGCACATGCCTCAGTTGTGGGCTTGATCCCCAGTGGGGGTGTGCAGGAGGCAGCTGATCAATGATTCTCATCATTGATGCTTCAATCTCTCCCTCTTCCTCTCTGAAATCAATAAAAAATATATTTAAAATAAAAAGTAAATAAATAAAAGAAGAGCAAGCCCTGCTGGCATGGCTCAGTGGCTGAGCATCCACATATGAACCAGGAGGTCAGGGTTCAATTCCTGGTCAGGGCACATGCTCAGGTTGTGGGCTCAATCCCCGGTGTGGGGGTGCAGGAGGCAGCTGATCAGTAGTTCTCTCTCATCATTGATGTGTCTATCTCTCTCTCCCTCTCCCTTCCTTTCTGAAATCAATAAAAATATACTAAAACAAAACAGCAAGACTACCCTTCAAGTTCTTCAGGTGCAGCTAGAGTCACCCTGGCCTCCGCTCTCACTTGACATTCAGTCAATCCTCTTGGCTCGGTGCCTTCCAAAGCCACCCATCCTGGGATGTGATGGTGGCAAAGACATGCAGGTGTGATTTGTGGGCCACGTGGGTCCTGGTCATGTGTGTGCAGGCGTGCTGGGGAGGCGAGATCCTAATGGGCTTTGCACTTAGCCGTCCACCTAGAGGCCTCTAACTCCAGCCCTTTGCCTCTGGGAGGAGGCCACAAGTTGGTTACTCAGCTTTGTGACTTTCCTGCTGTCTTCCCTCTGTCTCCAAGGTCCTATTTCCCAGCTGCAACATCCACAGCGCCTTTGCTTTCAACCTGCCTCTCTGTGAGTGACTTTTAAAATGAGGAGCTTGAGACATGTTCTTAACAGCTGGGCCCCATCCTGGGAGAGACACACTCAGTCCTCTGTCGGGGGGCTCGCTCCCCAAGGCCTCTCCCCGAGAAGCCGAGAGTCCCCAGGTGGCGCTGAGCGGGCCCTCTCTCCAGAGATGATGAAGAGAGAAGACGCCACCAGCCGAGGGCCAGGGGAGGAGGTCCCCTTGCCCGAGGAGATGACACAGCCGTGGAGCTGGGGGCTGGGGCTCCCCCTCGGCTCCCACCCAGCTCTGGGGAGCCGCCCCAGGGCCCCCTTCTCTGGACTCCAACACTATAGGTCTGACCACTAGTAACGAACTTTATTCCAAGTCTAATCCACCTGCTAAAAGACAAGGCCCCCCATGACAGGGATCATAGCACACCTACCCCCACCTCCCGTCCGTGTGTCTATCCATCCATACATCCGAATCAAAGTTTAAGTTTCCTTATTCGTAAAACGAGGGCTGTGGAGACAACGGGTGTCACGTGCCTGGCACTGGGGGTGCACCCAGGGTGCGGCCTTGGCTGGGTCTGAGGCTCTGGCTGTGAGAAATGGAATGTTAGCTTCTTTTAGAAGAAGCGTTGTGCCCTGGCCCGTGGCTCGCTTGGCTGGGGCACTGTCCTGGGCACCACAAGGCGGTGGGCGCGATTCCCAGTGGACCCGTCCCACTGGGTCCCAGGACGGTGCGTGTGGGAGGCGGCAGACTGACGCTTCTCTCACCCTGATGCTCCTCCTCCCTCCTCCTAAAATCAAACACCTGTGGGTGAGGACTTAAAACATGACAATATTAAAAGAAGCATCTGTATCACTAAAATAGTAACGGCTTTAATCGTCTTGTCAAAAGAGAGGGTTTGGGCGTGGGGAGGGCAGCGCTGGTTGGGGGGGGTTCTGAGCCACCCTCGGGCTCCCGGGCTCGGCCTGCCTCGGAGAGGAGACCTCTGAGCTCTGCACCATCTGATCACAGAGGCCGAGTTCACGGAAACTCCCGCTTGCCCGGCGGCACGGGCTGTGGTCCGTCGGGCGACGCCAGGCAGGCCGAGCTGTTGGTGGTAAACGCGAGACTAGCGAGACTAGCCGGGACCTCTTCCGGATCCGGCCGCCACGTGCCCCTTTGCGGGCTGCCCTCACCAGCGCTCCGGGGGGCAGGTCTCGGGGCTTCCGGACCACGCCTCTCCCTGTGCTTCCGCTTCCGGCTTCCGGGAGCAGCCACACCTGGGCCACGCCGGAAGTCCCGCCTCCCCGCCTGCCCGTCAGGCTGCAGTCCTGGACCAGCCTGTGATGGAGGGGCGTCCTGGGCAGCCTTGTCTCTGTCAGTCTCCTCTGGCCTCTCTGCTGATGTCCACTCCCTCCGCCGGGGAGGCCAGGACCAGGCCCCGCAGCACCGGCCAGGTGAGGGCAGGTGGCCCCGCAAGCCTCTCCAGGCGGGCGGTTCCGTGCCCAGGGGGCGGGGTGGGTGGGAACCAGGCAGGGCAGGGAGCCTGGAACCCTGCGATCCCAGTTGTCAGAGTGGGCAGAGCCTCCAGGACTCCCTGAGGCCCAGCGGGCAGGATCCCTTTGGGAGGCAGCCTCCTGCACAGACTCCATCAGTCCTGCTCCTCAGGGGAGGCTGGGAGCCCGCAGGTGGTCTCACCTGGGAGCCCGTTAGAAATGCGGGCTCGGAGGCCCCCACGGCCCCGCCGAGTCAGAATCTGCATTTCATCTCCAGGACATTCACCTGCAGAACTCAGGCGACTCCCTCCGGCCGGCCGCCCCGATGACCACCTCCTGGCGGCAGCACGCAGGCCGGCGGCTGGCGAGCTCCGGACCCTCTGATGTGGGTGGGAAACGGTTTGAAAGTCCGTGCGTAGCTGCCTGTGGGCAGCAGCTCAGCTCCAGCTAGCTCGGCCCGGGAGGGGCAGGGTGCACCCCCAGCCCAGGCTCCCGGAGGCCGGTCCGGCGGGGCCTCAGTGGCAGTACTCCTGCTCGATGCTGGCCATCAGCTCCTCCTCCGAGCAGTCGTACAAGATGACCGACCGCCTCTCCGGCCTCTCCTGGCTGCTGCCCGGGGCTCTGCGGCCGGAAACAGACGCGGTGTCAGGAGGCGAGGCGTGGCCGTGGAACTCGGTATCTCTCCCGGGGAGCCGCCATGGCCCCGCCAGGGGATTCTGCTCATCCCGTGACCAAAACCAGGAAGCCGGCCCTGGGGACACCTTCCCGGACTCCCCCTCTCCGCGAGCAGGCCTCTGCCCCTGCCTGCAGCGAGCCAGGGCCCAAGTTCCAGGCCCAGTTCCGGTCCCGGCTCCGCCACTTACTAGCTCAGGGACCTTTCTTTTTCTCTAAAATGGAGCTGTCTTGACAGGTTCCTTCTGAGGCAGAAATGAGGTAAAATGCATGGACAGCATGTGACACAGTCTTGCCCTCGGCAAGTATGTGTATGGGGGGGCGCCACAGCCATTGGCCTGATGCTCCCTGACCCCCCACCTCTGGGGGTCCCACAGGAGCTGCTGTGGGGGACAGGGTGGGGCCCCCCCACAAGCCGACCTGAGGGTGAGCCAAGATGCTGACTGCCGTGTGTCTAGCGTGGAGCGTGGCACCTAGAAGTGCTGGGCAGAAAGGTCCCAGCAAAGCCCCTGACACTTCCTGCTGTCCCCTCGGGGGCTCGCGGAAGGTGGCCAGGGCAAGGCATTCGGAATGGGGGGGCACCTCACAGACCCCAAGGGCGCCAGGGTCTCTTGAACAAGCCAGAGGGGAGCAGGAGTCCCAGGGCATCAGTTCTGGGTCCTTAGCGGACCCCTTCCAGGGGTTAAGTGTGTTTTCCTGGGACTAGAGGGGCCCATCTGTCCCCCTCTAGGCAGTAAACTCCTAAAGGCCAAGGTCAGTGTCTCATCCTGAGTGACGGGTGAGGCTGCGACCGACCGGGAGGGGCGGGTCCGGGACGCCTGAGTGACTGCGTCAGGGCCTTTTTCAGGAGGGTCACAGCTGCTGGGACTGGGAGGTTCTGCGCTGTCCCAGGGCTGGGGCCTGCCCCCTCTGCGTGCCCCCCCCTCCCCCAGCAGAGCTTTGCATTCTAAGAGGAAGCTGCTGGGGGAGGGGGGGGAAATGGGGCCCTGAGGCTGTGGGGCAGCCACGGAAGAGCCGGAGTCCGGCCGCAGGTGACTCCTGGACTTACTCGGTCGCGCCGCTGCTCTCCGGGGGGTCTTCCGCTCTGTGCTCCGGGGACACCTTGAGAAGGACAGAAGGAAGAGGCATCAGAGGGTGACCGGTGGCGAGCCTCCCACCGCCCGGCTTTCTGTGACACCGATGGCCACCACGTTCAACATCCCCCTGTATGTGTGTACGGTCGGCCCTCCTATCCGCGGGTTCCGAATCCAGATCCAACCAACAGGTCGAACATAGAAAAAGCAGCTCACGTTGCTGACGTGCACGGTGTAGTGAGGCTGCGGTGGTTGTGTTTGCACTGAGCACAGTCAGGGTTTTCTCTGTCTTCATTCCCCAAGCAACACAGTAAAACGACTGTGTTTTACACAGCGTTTGCATGACATTAGGTGTTATACGTAACCCAGCGATGGTCTAAAATGGTGGTCAGTCGGGCAAACTGCGGCTTGAGAGCCACACGCAGCTCTTTGGCCCCTTGAGTGTGGCTCTTCCACAAAATACCACGTGCGGGCGTGCACGTACAGTGCAATTGAAACTTCGTGGCCCATGCGCAGAAGTCGGTCTAAAGTATTTGGGAAGTTGAGCGCAGGTTATACACAGACACTGCACCATTTTAAAGAAGGGACTAGAACATCTGAAGGTTGTAGTGTCTGGGGGGGCCCTGAAACCAACCCCCGTGGATACCGACGGACGACTGTACCACTTTTCTTAAGAAAATTTATTCTTATTTTTCCAGTTTACAGTCAATATTATTTTGTATTAGTTTCAGGTGTACAGCCTAGTGGTTAGATAATCATCTTTTACAAAGTGTCCCCCCTGATATTTTTAGCGCCCGCCTGGCACCCATACACAGCCGTTACTATTACTGACCATAGTCCCTATGTTGTACTTTTCATTCCTACGACTGTTTTGTAGCTGCCAGTCTGCGCTTCTCAATCCCTTCACCTTCCTCACCCAGCCCCCAACCCTGCCCTCACCCAGCAGCCATCACTTTGTTCTGTGTATCTAGGAGTCTGTTTCCGTTTTGTTTGTTTATATGGCTCTTTAGATTCCACATATAAATGAAATCATATGGGATCTGTCTTTCTCTGACTGGCTTATTTCACTTAGCATAATACCCTGTGTCCATCCATGCTGTTGAAAACAGTTAAGAACTCATTCTTTGCCCTAACCGGTTTGGCTCAGTGGATAGAGCGTCGGCCTGCAGACTCAAGGGTCCCAGGTTTGATTCCGGTCAAGGGCATGTACCTTGGTTGCTGGGTACATCCCCAGTAGGGAGTGTGCAGGGGGCAGCTGATCGATGTTTCTCTCTCATCGATGTTTCTAACTCTCTATCCCTCTCCCTTCCTCTCTGTAAAAAATCAATAAATTTTAAAAAGAATTCATTCTTTTTTAGGGCCGAGTAGTATTCCATTGTGTAGATGTACCACAGCATTTTTAGCCACTTGTCTAGTGATGGACACGTGGGCTGCTTCTATACCCTAGCTGTTGTAAATAATGCTGCAGTGAACATAGGGGGGCATGTATTCTTTTGAATTAGCATTTTAGGTTTCTTTGGCTATTTACCCAGAAGTGGAGTCGCTGGGTCATAGGCAGATCGGTTTTTAATTTTGGGGGGAAATTCGTATTGTTTTCCATGCTGGCTGCATTCCCACCGGCAGTGCTCAGGGTCCCCTCTCCTCTGCCTCCTCCCCAGCACTGGTTGGCTTATGGGTGACAGCCATTCTGACAGGTGCGAGGTGACCTCTCATTGTGATGGTACCGTATGTTCTTTATGCATCTTGTTTGCCCGTCCGCTGACTGCCTCCGCCCTCTGGCGGTTGTGACTAACGCTCCTATGAACATGGGTGCACAGGACTCCACGTGAGATGGGCTTACAGTTCCTTGGCCTGGATATATTCTCAGGGGCCACAGGGAAGAAAAACAACACTTCTACCCAACTGTCCTCCAGCCGTTTCTCTGAAGTCACCCTCAGTTCCCGCTGGTCAGTTTCTGCTGGGCCCAGCTTTGCCGTCGCCTGGGATGGCTTTTCCTTTCGCCACAGGTTCTGTAAGGGTTGTTACAGATACAGTTTCTCCCGTCAGGAGCACAACGGGGTGGATGAGCACAAGGTTGGAATCAGACATCTGCACCGGCAGCCCGGCTGGCCGCCTCGCGGGGCAGGGACGGCGCGCACTCCATCACACCCGTGATCTGGACACCCTAAGGCTGCGTCCAAAAGGTAGGCACACTCTTTCCTCAGTGATTCCCCTGCCTTGACTTTGACTTGGCCTCTGATGGGCGATGTTAGGCGCCCTCCCAGATGTACAGCTTGCAGAAGGTGCAAGGGGAGCGTGGATGGGAAGCAGAGACACAGCGGCCTCTGGTGGCTGCTCCAGGCCCCGGGCAGACACTAGTGTCCGTCACCAGACAGCTGGCGGGCTGCCACCTGGAGGTCAGACAGCTGGACCCAAGGAGGGCAGAGCCGGCCGGGCGTGGGAACCTGGCTGAGCTCAGGGAGGGCGCTGTGTCTGGGCCACAGGGCCGGGCGGGGCATGTTGTCACTTGAAACCCTGCCCTACATGGTTTGGCTCAGCGGATAGAGCATTGGCCTATGGACTGAAGGGTCCCGGGTTCGATGCCGGTCAAGAGCACATGCCTGGGTTGTGGGCTTGATCCCCAGTGGGGGGCGTGCAGGAGGCAGCCGAACCATGGTTCTCTCTCATCATTGATGTTTCTATCTCTCTCTCCCTTCTCTGAAATCAATAAAAATATATTTTAAAAAATAATAAACCCCACGGAGGCTGTGTAAAACCTCACCTAACAGGAGGAGGGGTTGAGTGAGATGGTCTCTGAAAGTCTCCTCTGGCTCTTCTTACAAGCAGGGTGTGTATTGTTAGAATAGTGAAATATCAACAGTTAATTTTTAGCAAACCCACTACATATCTTACCAAAATGTATTCTATCCTTCTTCTATCTAAAGAGTTCTCCCCTTAGCTCTTGACACTTTTATATGTATATACAGGGTGGGGCAAAAATAGGTTTACAGTTGCTCGTGTGGAAAATAATACAATAACTAATAAATAATAATACAAGGAAAAAACTGTTGCTCGTACTCACAGCTGAAAACCTCCTTTTGCCCCACCCTGTATACGCACACACCTGTCAGTGAGATATGTGATCACACAGAACAAGTGGCAGGAGTTTGAAGGATACAATTGGGTAGGTTTTGACATGTGGATACACCTGTTAACCCGTCCCAGCCCCGTGGGAACTCGGGCTCCTGAGCCATGTTTTTGGCAGCATCTTTCCGGGTAGTGCACGCCCAGCGACGTCCTGTCCACTTCATTCTACACCTTCCCATGCCCAGCACGAGGCAGCCACCCCCCAGGCCTGGCATCTGGCAAGGCCCGTGAGGCTCTGCTCCAGCCTCGACAGGCCAGCTTCCACCAACCACGGACAGCAGCCAACACCCCATCCACCTGTGTCCCCGCCACCAGGCTGCCATGGCCTTGCACATGGGGTTCTCTCTGCCCCAGTGCTCCCTCTGCCTGTTTGCCTGGCTCATGCCACAGGCCCTCCCAGCCTCAGGTCGAGCCTGTCCTGGAAGCCGGCCTGACTCCTCCAGGGCTCAGCTGCTTCTCCTGCGGGCCCCTTTTTAAATTTATTTTTTATTTTTATTGATTTCAGAGAGGAAGGGAGAGGGAGAGAGAGAGAGAAACATCAATGATGAGAGAGAGTAACTGACCGGCTGCCTCCTGCACGCCCCACACTGGGGATGGAGCCTGAAACCCCCGGCCAGTGCCCTGACCAGGAATCCAACCGTGACCTCCTGGCTCAGAGGTCGACGCTCAACCCCTGAGCCAGCCTCGGGGCCCTGCAGACTTTATACAGACCCCAGACCACACTGCCCTCCGCTTTCTGCCTGCAGATCGCCCTCCGCCCCCCACCCCCATTAGACCGCCGGCTTCTTTAGGACAGACAGCTGCCACCTGTGTTCCTCTCCAGCACCTAGGGCTGCCCCCGCCCGCACACAGCAGGAGCCCAAACAGCACCTGAGAAGGGGCTGGAAGGATGAGTGAGGCGGCCCTGCCCGGGAGCGGCTGGTACCCAGCGACTTGGTGGGGGGTGGGGGGGGGCGGCATTTTGTTGTTTTCACACCTAAGTTCCCAAAGCGGGGGAAACGCAGACACTGAGCATTGCTTCCATGCGAGCTCAGAATCCCCCCAGCATCCCCACCGCGGCTCCGTGTCAGTGATGTCGGAGTTACATAAGCGCTGGTGCAGCCTTGGGGGACCCAGCCGGGCAGTCCAGCTGCTGAGCTGCAGCGGCCCCGGGGGCAGCGGGCGGTCGGGAGGCCGGTCTCCGCCTGTCCAGGCTGGGCCGGCCCTTGCCCCACCCTCCGGCGGCTTCAGGACCCCGCTGCCCAGGGCTGCCCGGGAGGACGCTCCCCTCGCCCCTTAGGCGGCGCCCGCGGGTGGGGTTGGGGGAGAGGCCAGCCTGGAGCTGCTGGTAAAGACCTTGTCCGCTCCGCTCCGCTCCGCCGGTGGGCCCGGGGGAGGGGGGGGGGGGTACAGCGCTTAGCACCCCCTCCACCCGCACTCCGGGACTGCCAAGTGTGGGGGGGGGGCACCCCGTCCGCTCGCACGGCTGGAAGGCCCGGTGCTGTGCTTAGCGGCGGACCCGGTTCCCAGGGCAAAGAAAGGCG